ATTGACCTTTTGTTCGGACGCCATATTGCGGTGCGCGAACATAGTTGCCAACAGTAGAAAAAAAATTACCAGCGTTCTGTCAACTTTAAAATCCAAAGTTAGTGAATAAATTACATTTAAAATTTAAATTTGCCGCCTATTACGAATGTTTTTAGAAAGAGAAGCTATCAATTTTAGCTTGTATTGGGCATCAGAATAGAAATAATAAAATATTTAGTTGACAGCCCGCTAGTAATTTTTGGTTTTCTTGTTTTGGCAACTATGTTCGCGCACCGCAATATGGCGTCGAAACAAAAGGTCAATTGGCTGTCTACCCAACTTAGCAGGTATATATACATACGTTTATAAATTCTCAACCAATTCGGAACCAAAAAAACGAAAACAAGCCGCTTATCACAAAATTCCGAAACAGTTCCTCCTTCAGAGCAAGAACTGAGAGAACCGTTCTAGAACAATCTAAGAATCGTTCTTATATAGTAGTAAATAAACCAAAACGCTGTTAACACAGTTCGATTACGATTCTGAAAAAACGAAAATGTGTTTTTTAACGTGCGCATGTGCAGAATAATTCCAAACTAGTTCTGAGTGAAACCAAAACAAAGCTTATGTAAAATGTGGAACCAAGAAATTATCCTTTCTTTAATTGAAGACCTTCAGAGCACACCATGCTTATGAGAGATAATCTGTGTGGACTATAAAAATCGCAATAAGAAGGTGGATGCATATGAAATGCTTGCAAAAAAGTACAAAGTCAGTGCAATAGACATTGGAATAAAGATTCAGGCACTAAAAAACCTATTTCGCCGAGAGCATAAGTAATTATTGGACTCTGAAAGAAGGGGAACATCTCCCAAGAAAGTGAACTGATTTGACTACGAAATACTATTATTCTTACTGCAAGGCTATGAGTATAGAGGTAATCGTTTAACAGATATAAGAGATGAAGATCCACCAACGTTTTTTTTTCCTTTTTTTTGACATAAAATATATACAGAGTGTTCCACGAGGTTTTTCCCAAATGATAACTTCGGAACGCATCATCGTATGTTCCACTGTATATTTTTTATAATTTTTTTAACAAATATGGCATTGCCGATTTTGTAATTTAATTTTCTAACGAAAATGCCATAATATACCATTAGTTACATTTAAGATTCAAAATTTGACGTCACTTGACCGAAATTGATGCGAAAATGATGAAATTGGATGACAATCGTAGAAGCGTCACAAAAAGTTACCCAGATCCTTACATCCTCAAAATTTCGATTATATTAGACTATCCAAGATGCTGTCAAACTTGAATTAAAATGGCCGCCAAGAGGCACACAAACTCTTTGTTTATGTGTCATCGAATTTGTCATCAAATAATGTATGACCTTAAAATAGGGCTCATTGTGAATTATTTGCGTTCTGATACTTAAAACTGTTGTTTTTATTAATGTTAGAAATAGTGTATTTGAATAGTGTATGTGAATAGCAGTAAATAGTTCTTAAAAACGTGAAAAACATGCCTATAACGTGTTGTATTATTAAATGTGGAAGTCGTGGAGATTGAGACATTCTTAAATTTTTTCAAATTCCAAGTAAAAAAAACAATACAAATCAAAGCACAACACTGGATGGTGGAGTTGAAATAAATAAATATTTTCACATCAAGGGAAGTTCCTGCGTGTCCAAGTGAAATGCAGGTATAGCAACCTTGCCCAAATAATAAGGATTGCGTAATTGGGTAGAAACTGGCAAAAATTGGGACGCACACAATAGAAAATAAGTATTGAATTATGATTATTGATGACATAATATAATGACGTTATGATTTGTGTTTGTGTGCCTCTTGTCGGACATATTTTGCTTGTCAAAGTCACATGTTTTGGATAGTCTAATTGGATGACGCATTCCGGAGTTATTACCTGGGAGAAACGTCGTGGGACGCCCTGTATATCCAGTACAATTACCCGCCACTGCCTCACTATTCACTAATATGTTTTGCCTTTAGTCTGAACGCAATCGCTAGTTCAAAAACTAAATGTTCTTTGAAGCAAAACACCTACACACGTGTATAAATGTTTCGTTAACGGGCAAATGTTTCCAAACATTTGTTTGTGGACAGTGTATGTAGGTTTGGACTAGGCTATAAGAAGAAATCCCAATCCTGGCTTATGATTTTGATCTAGGATTGCTTTTTAACTTATTTAGAGTTGATGGCGAAAAATTAGTACTTTTTGTACTAATTTCTTAAAACTTTCTCATCTTCAAAATACCTGGACTTGACAAGTCCTCAAGTGGTATACCCTTAGGGTCTACCCAACTAATTATCAATAATATATAGGTAGTTGCAATTATAGAGATATAATAATTATAACCAATACAAAGAAAATGGACCTGGAGAAGCCCAGACAGTGTTACAAAGAACGAAATAGATTTTATATTATCAAATAAAAGAACAGTATGTAGAGTCGTCTCGGTACTGAATAAGATACACACTGGTAGCGATCATAGACTTGTTTGATCCCATTGCATTGATCTGCAGAAAGAAAGAAATAAAATTGTGCAAAGACCTTTGTTTGCCCACTGCACAGGAACTTGAAACTAACAAAGAGAAATGCCAAAAATTAGAAACAGGCTACAACTCGTTAACTCTGATACGAACCTAAGTATAGATTTACCAGATATCACAAACCCAGAAATAAAAAAGGCACTAAAACCAATGAAAAACGGTTAGTGTCCTGATGAAGATAAGATATCGAATGAAATGCTGAAGTTTGGTGGACCTGTATAGTAAAACTCTTTAACAAATGTCTTTACGAGGGCAGAGTACCGGAATGCTGGCTCGAAGCAGAAGTAATACTGTTATATAAAAAAGGAGGCTCATTAACATAGAGAACTATAGGCCTATTAGTATACTGTCGTACCTTTATAAGCTCTTCACAAAAGTTATAACCAACAGGTTAACATCAAAATTCGACTCCTACAAACCTGTAGAACAGGCTAGTTTTCGAAAGGGTTTCTCTACAATTGATCCTTTACAGGCGGTTAGAACACTAATTGAAAAATCTGTTGAATATAATGTGCCAATCCATACAGCTTTTATTGACTTTCATAAAGACTCGATTGAAATCTGCTATATATTAAAATCTATGGACAACGCACGTATCGATTCCAGATGTATTACAATAATTGAAAACATCTACAAAAATGCATCCCTTCATGTAAAAATCGACGACGGAACTAAGACAAGGAGACACTATTTCGCCGAAGTTATTTACATTAGCTCTAGAGGACGTTTTCAAGAATCTCAGGTGAGAATCAAGATCGATGGAACATATCTAAACAACCTCAGATTTGCAGATGATATTGTGCTAATATCAGACAATATAAGAGAGATCGAGTCAATGCTTCAAGAGCTAAACGAAGAATCGAAAAGGGTGGGCCTAAAAATGAACATTGCCAAGACAAAAATAGTGAGTCCAATAAATTCACGGATCTACATATATAGATAACTCTGTCATTGAAAATGTAAAAGAATACAATTACCTGGGTCCTATTTTATCACTAGAAAAGGAAAACCAATCAAAGGGAATATAAAACTCTCCTGGGCGGCATTTGGTAAACTTGCATACATGCTAAGAAAAAGCGATATCCCCATTAATCTAAGACGTAAAGTTTTCAACGCCTGTGTTCTACCTGTTGCAACATACGGGATGGAAACAGTTGCCATTAGCCAAGCAAGTGCCCACAAATTCCGAGTAATGGAAAGGTCAATGCTTGGTATCAGTCTGAGAGACAGAATACCAAATGATGAGATTCGGAGAAGAACCAAGGTCAAAGACATAATTGAGCGGATTCCAGAACTGAAATGGCAGTGGGCGGGCCACGTAGCAAGGCTGAAGGATGAGAGATGGTCATCAAGGATCGTTAAATGGAGACCGAGAGAGACGAAACGCAGTATAGGAAGACCCCCACATACGGTGGGCGGATGACATAAGGAAAATAGCAAGTGGAAATTGGTACCAAAATGCTTAAACTAGGGATCAGTGGAAAGAATTAGGAAAGGCCTATGTTCAGGAGTGGACGAGAAGTGGCTGAGGAAGAAGAAGAATAATTATTTGTTATGTACTCTAAATCTGCTTTCTTGATATAGCTTCTATAAATTATATCCTCTATCTTGTGCTGTTCTCATCTTATTTTGATTTTGTGGCGTTCCTATTATTTTTCTGTGTTAATTAATGTTTCTGTTATTTCGTTCTCACTATTTAAAGTTATTGAATGTTTTTTTAAATTTTTTATATGACATCAAGCATGGGTTCTTGTCCTTATGTGAGCATGATAATGGCTTCTTAAACCCTAGATTGGCTTTTAGTCATTTTCATTTAACGCTCCAATCTATTGAAACAATAGAGCTGTAGCCATTTCAATGTGAATAATTGGTATTTGTTTACATTCACAATCAATAAGGCCTGAATTTTTAATACTCTCCATGCACTAACTATTTCCGGAACTTAATTTGCCGGCAAGTTCAAAATTAATCTACAGGAAATTAATTACACCAAATTGCAATCTAGATTTTTAATTTTAGATAAACAAAAGCCTGGTGACACATATACGGTCAGCAATAATTTTAATTTTTGCCTGTGTCGGCTTTACCAGAATAATTGAAATTTACACGTTAATTGACCTCGTTAAAAAGCCTTTGGTAATTATTTGTCTTAAAAGTGAAAAAGGTTTGCATCATTTAGTTTTTGAAAAGCTTCAGGGAAAGCCTCAAAAGTAATGCAAAATTTTGCAGTGAAATTCTTGTTATTTGTCTGAAAAGCGAAAAACTTTGCTTTAATATTTGTGCCATATCTCAAGAGAAGCCTCAAGAGTAGCTTAAAATTTTGTTCAAGTGAAATTCTTGTTGTTAGTCTGAAAAGTGAAAAAGTTTGCTTTATTATTTGTGGCATATTTTAAGAAAAACTTGAAATATTTAGGGGATTTTTATTTATTTTTTGCAATTCAAGCGGAAGCATCCAAGCTCTCAGCGTCGCTGGGCTCGATGGGCGCAGCTGTGGCGACGGAGGGACGTGGGGGACGAGGGCACCCGGCTTCTCCGACGACGAGATCAGCCTCTCGCCCCCTCGGCACAGCTATATCTTGGAGCTCGGTCCCAGACACCACCAGTATCAAGGCCAATATTATGGTAAGAATATGTCCACATATAATACTTTCGCCACATTTGTTTGTCTGAAAAAAGTACACAAATCCAGAGTTCAAAAAACCATGTTTGCCCATACATTTTTTGTAATCGTCTTTCCAAATTTAGAAATGAAAGCGCCTACGAATAATGTATAACTCACGTCTTTTTAAAATTATTTAGGTGCCCCGGCCGCCGGCTGTTGTTCCGACGACGAACTCGCCTTCTCCGACGGAGACGCAGTCGGCATCAGACGCGAGCTCTGCGACCGTGAGCCCATTGGCTTCGCCGGACCACAAACGCACCCTCACGTCCGCAGCCACAGCCAATCGGAAGCCTGCGTCGCCGCTCGCCGTGCGCGCGGCTGTCCACAGAGCAGACACAGGTAAGATGCCTCAACAATTTATCATTATTATTCCTTCCCTGTTGTTTACTAACATCCAAAGCTCATGCTACTAAACTCCCTCCTTCATGTAGGTATCATCACGCACACTCACATTACTTCGCGGACGCCCTCTAGTCACAAATCAGAGGGTAGTCTGCTGGACCAAACTCCCCAAACCCAACCAGCATTCTCAAACAACTACGTTCCCTCGCAGACTCAGTCTCAAAACGACTTAGGCCCTTCTCCGAGACCTCAAAGTCCTATGGAGTACTCTGCATACGAACCTCCGCCTAAAAGAAAGCTTTGGCAACGCAGCGCTAGTTGTAGAGATTTGTATGATTTCAGCTTTGAGGAAACTGGCAAAGCTAAGCGTAGAGCGAAATCCCCCAGACTTTTGGAAAAAACGGTGGTGAGTCTAGATGAACGTAAACAAGACTCGCCTGTTACTGTTTACGATGACCATAGAGCGTTGTACAGCGCTAGTTCCAGGGATAGTAGCTTAGAAATTCAACAAGACATTATGGTACCTAAAATTTATTCCAGCAGCTTTCCTGGGACAAAGTCCTTTTCACAAGAATCCGTTGAAGATCCAGGCAATTATGATTTAAGAGATTCACAGGACGATTTGTCCCATGATAGCTACGAACTTATTGAAAAATCTGACGATAGTACTGAAGATTATAAAAAACCAAAACCAATAAACGCGCGCAGTTGTAGTCTTGATTCCGGGAATTATTTACCTTCAGACAGCGAGGAAGAGCATGGAACTGGTCGTCAAAAATATAAAAGCGACCATGACATATTCCTCATGGAGGATCCTCGAGATTTACCTCGAGAAATTATTCCCAGGAAATCCGATGGAAACTTCTATAAACAATTCAAACAGAGTTCTAGAACTTCAAGTTTAGAATCAAAAAGTGATTATTATGAATCAAAAAATTCCAGTTTGAAAAAATCGTCAAGAACATCCTCGCAGGAATCAAAAAGCGACTATGAAACAATATCTAGAAAATCTTTGAAAAAAAATAAGAGTGCGGATGATTCTAGAAGAAGCAGCATAGAGTCTAAAAGTGAATATTTTGATGCTCCTAGTGACCAAGCGAAATACAAGAAAGTCGATTATGACAGGAAAATTAACTTTGAGCGAAACTATGGCACCCACATACGCCCTGAACCAGTCCTACCAGCTTATCCAGATTTTGAAACTGAACAAAGTCTTAGAGTGGACAAATTACTGAATGATATTGAACAAAATACTCTAGTTAAAGCTGAGAAAACCACTCATATATGGCCCGAAGCCATTGCCGGATTGCCTACAGAAATATTAAATGAAAATATCAGCGGTCAACGTTCCACAGAGTCTGAAAGTAATATTTTCAGTTTTGATGAAGACAGGATTCAGTCTTTGCAAGAGAGTAGTGATTTCAGTGATCACGGATTTAGTGTTGTGCCAAACATCGACTTAAAAGCAAACAAAAAGGAACATAAAAACTATAAAGATATATTTATGGAAATCGAGCCAAGGATTTGTCATGACCTACCTTTGCATCAGCCAATAGAAAGAACCAAATCAGATCCTAATTCATTAGCCAGGCAACGCTCAAATCCACATTCCAGACGTTTATTATTGATGCACCAAAAATCCATTGACCTCACTCCAGCGGAATCTAGTGACGATGATTATTTATATAAACAAATCCCTAGTGCTCCGCCAATTATTGCTAAATTCAAAGGAACGCACTTTGAAATGCCAACAGCCGAATTTGGGCATTTTGATATATTAAAACGTGAAATCGAGGGTCAAAAGACTAAATTTGAAGTGCCCAAAAGCCAATTTGAGGTTTTAGGTGCTAAAAATCAGGCCGACTTAATGAATTTGCCTCCAAAAAGCCAAGAAGACATACCTTATGTTTTGCATAAGCGCCACATAACTACACAGAAGGAAGCTAAAGAGGAAAATGTTATTAATCCAAAACCTGAGACTTCATTTTTGTTTACTCAAAACATAGATTTGTCCAAAGTAAATCCTGTTACACTCGAAGTAGATAAAACAGTACCACCTATACAGTTAATATCGAGCCCCAAAAGAGACATAACTCACATTGATCCGTTGGTTTTAGAGACCCTAAACTCAAAATTGAGTCAAATTGAAAGTGATTCGCCCACAAGCTCTAGAACCGAAAGTTTGAAACCCATACAAAGAATTATAACTCCTTTAGTTAAAAATGAACAAAAAACCACCATTGAAGAAAAAGTCACAACTGTCAATATAATAAAACCAGAAGTGAAAAAACCAGAACCAAAACCGCAAATCAAAACGGATATCATCAAACCAAAACGTATAATCAAACCTCGAATGCAGCCTGGCAAAAAAGGCTGCAAATCAAACAAAACAAAAGTTAGAATCACTTCGTTTAGTTCTGATGATGAGTCATTAGACTCAGATGATGTTTTTGGAAGTGCCGAAGCTACTCCTACTAGAATAGAGTTTTCGCCCCCACAAATGCGCAAAGAAATGGAATCTATATTAAAGTTTGAATCAGAAAGGAAGTACTTGCAATACACAATGTCTTCTACTGAAGTGGAAGGTTCTCCACCGACTACAAGAAAGAAAACTACCGATAGAAATAACGAAAATGGGCTTGATCCTCAACAACAAACACAAACTGAGCTTCGACGCATTTCAGAGAGATCATTTTCAATTCCCAGCTCCGAGGATGAGTTTAATATCAAAACTATTGATTTAGCTCAGTCAGTTTTTGCTGAGCCTGACCTATTGAAAACAGTTGTAGAAGATGGAGATGAAACTTTAAAAGATGACAATGCAACAGATAACGATTTGACAATAGATGATGAAAGGGAGCGGGAAAAAGCTTTACTTGCAGCTGAAATTGAAGAGGATTTAAGAAATTTAAAAGTACCTGCCAAAACGAAGATTACCGAAATAATGTCTCCATCATTAAGAAATAAGAGTCCTCTATTGTTTGCACATGCGAGGTTAAATTTATCTGAAGGATCTGCTTTTAGCTTATTGCAAAAGCAGCAAGCTTTGGATTCTCCTTTGGCTAATAGACGCGCAAGAAGTTTGGATGCACCGATTATTCCTGTAAATAAACTGCCACCTTTAAATGCGTTTTCTAGCAAGGACGATACTGTAGAGGAAGAGGATCACAAGTTCACTACGAGCACTGAAGCTTCAGATGTAGACGATATTATTAAAAGCAATGGAAATGGAATTGTGCCAGAGAAACCTCCAATACTAAGTGACATTTCCAAGGAAAGTTCTTTAGGCGAAAACGATCAAATTGTCCCTGATGTTACTTCCTTTAAAAGGAAAACTGCGCCGAAATTGAGACCGAAATTACCTCCTAAAGGAGTAGTTCCTCCAAAACCTATGATTGGCAAGAAGCCTTTGAAAGAAAAGCCAAAGTTGGTTAAACAAAATCCTAGCAGTAAGCCTCCAATAAAACCAAAAACTCCAGATCCAAAATCAGTGCCGAAGGCACCTAAACCAGCAAGATTATCCATTGAAAAAGTAGAAATCGAATCCAAGAGCGACAGTGATGACCAGAAAATTCAATCATTACTAACTTTACCAGAAATTAAACGCACCAAAAGCCAAGAGCTGGAACTCAATAAGAAATCCGTACCAAAAACAGAAAAAGCACGTTCTTTGGAAAAAATAGAACTTAAGAGAATGAGCAGTAAAGAACGTACGAAAAGCCAAGAAGAAAGCGACGAAGTTATAGCGGAAAGACGAAAATTACAACAAATGCTTTATGAAACTGCAATAAAACAAACAAAAACCTTAAAAAGTCCAGTCAAAGACGTCTTACCAGTATTCCCTCAAGTTGAAGAAACTGTCAGAGAACGTGGAGGGAAATTGGAAATAAGCATAAACACTATTGAGCCAAGTGTATCCCTAGAAGAAGCCATAATTGTAACTAAAAGTCCTAAGAAATTAGATAAAAAACTAGACAAGAAACTAACAAAAAGTTTGGAATTGAATTTAAATGATGTCTATCCAGAGAAAGGCATGCAACGTTTGGGTAAAAGCTTGGATTTGGAACGCAGCAAGTCTGAAGATGAAGCTGATAAATCGACAGAATTTGACTTCAAACCTGAAACAATCAAAAACATTTACGATAAAGACACTTCGCCAGAAGTTCATGCTATACAAGAAACCATAACTGCTGACATCCATCATACAGAAGCAGAACAAGTAATTCTTGAAGGCACCAGCTTGGACGTTTGGCTTTCAGTTGCAAACAAAAAAACAATCAAGGACATCCAAATAATACACGAAGGGGGGGATTTTTTTGAACAACCTTTGGCAAAAGCACCGGATTTAAGCAAGGCCAGCTCCTCAGATTCAGCTAGCATAGAAAAAATCAGCTTGGGCAATAGCCTAGATATAAAATACATTGACGAATCCACTGGGGAATCTTCGGGAAAATCAGACAAAGACAAAGAACTTATAGCTGAAATGCTTCGAGCTTCTGCAACTGTTAGTAAATTTATTAAAAAGAAATTGGAAAAACGCCGTAAGGATTCTGATGATGAAACCACTATAGTTCCTGAACAAGTTAAAACATTTAGTGAAGATGAATCTTTGACGGAAGTAAGCGAAATAAGACAAGAAAAACATCTTTTAACTGTTACAGTGACTGATCACCAAGATGCCTTATTAAAATTAGGTGTTCAAAGAAGCAAATCTGAAGATACTGGTTCATGGATGACTGTAGAATGTGACGAATTTATTGGCACTGAAAGTTCTCTGGATTATGATCAAGAATCTCCACTTGATAAAGATTTATTAAATACTGACATGAAGCATCATGGCAAGTTAAAATTGTTGAAACGTAGCTCTGATCAATCAAGATCAAGTGATACTGGCTCATGGACTAGCGGAGAAAAAGAACTAAGCCCTAGTAATATTAAAGAAACTGATGAATCTAGTGTTAGTTGCTCAATGGGTAGAGCAATTGGCTTGAGTCAAAATATCGAAATGTTTGCTACAAAAGAGCAATTCGACGATGAACCTCCAAAAAGCCCTAGGAGCCCTCGTAGCCCTAGAATATCAGTCTTGGGACGCGCCTTTACAATAGACGAAGGCAGTCAGAAATTGGACGAAAGTAGTTCGGATGAGGCTAATGATATTCCTAAAGATTTAGCTATTATTGAGGAAAAAAGTACTGATTCTGATAATGGTGGGTTTATTAAGGCTCCCAAAAAATATCCGTTTGAAGAGAAATGGTCTCAAGACTCGGAATTGAGTCAAAAACTGCATAAGAAGCTATCGAAAAAATTATCCTCAAATGAAAGTGACTTGAAACTTAAACCGAATTTGATTAACTTGGATAAACTATCTACAGAATCTAAAAATTCATTAGATACTGAATCCAGCTCTGGCAGCTTGGGCATAACAACCAGAGCTCATAAATCGGGAGACATACCTAAAGAATTGAGCTCAACATGGAAACCATTTCCTTTAGACAGTTCAGGTTCAGAGAGCTTTGAAGATTTTTTACCTCCGGATCAAGATTTAGATAAACACGAATATTTTATGTGTAGAGACAATGGTTCGGGTGATTTCACTTCAATGGCGGATGTTTATACACCAACAAGGGACGATACTGAGCTTCCCGAAGACTTGGCCAATTTTCCAGCCAATTTTGGCTATCCTTTGATATCAACAGACATTCTTGGCAGTTATAGCCAGGGAGGATTTTTATCTAGAACGTTATCGAGAATATCTGAGAGAAGTACTAATTCAGAAAAATCAAGCTTGGAAGAGGATTCTACTAAAGCTAGCACTCAAAGTGATAGCTTAAATGATGAAGCTACAAACTCAAGCAATCCTCAAGTGAGTATTAGCTCAGAGTCACCTAGCCATGCGCATGTCTACGATGAAAAAAAGACTCCGACAAATGAAAAACCCTTGAAACAAGAACCTACACCAAATTTCAGCAGTTTACTACAAAGACAAATATCAGACGATAGAAGAACTTCAGCGGAAATGGCTGAATTATCCATGGACGATATCGAAATCATAACATCAGAAAGAGGCCTAAGATTGAAGCGTCAAGGTTCTGATGATACAATAATCGATGAAGAATTTGAGGACAGACTGGAAAAGCAAAGCAGCCAAGAGGAGGATTGGCCTTTACCAGAAATCCCTTCACAAAACCAGAAGCTGATAGCCATGCATGAAGTGCCTAGTTCAGATACTTCTGCTCAATTAACCACTCAAGTTTACCAACCACCGATACCAAAAACTTTTGGGCTGCGAGGTTCCTTGAAAAGCCAAGACTCTGAGCAATGGCCGAGCCCACCATCGAGCATACAAGAACCTATTGTAGAAAACATTGAGACTTATTATATTTCACCTGCAGAAGAGGCTTGTAGAGTAACTGTAGAAAATATTTACGATGATTCAAATTCTGACGATTATAAATCGGTTGCTCACACATATGAAAATATAGTTAATATTGATCATGTCAGTGAGAGTTTATCCGATCAAAGTCAAAGCCAAAGTAGTGTGGGTCCGAGTGGAATTAAAATAATTTTAGAAGAAAAATCGCACGAATCAAACTCAGACGAAGACTTGAATATATCTAATCTTAACGATGACGTGTTTATTGATGCTACTACTGAACAATTACGTCCTCCTACAGCTTTACGACGCAGTACAGCCTCAGATGATTCTAGAGGCTCCAGAAAAAGCTCCCATAGTTCTTATAGTGAAGAAGACTGCACTAGCTCTATGGGAACTAACTTGGAAGATGGTACTGTCAGGTTTGCTTTAAAACCTACCAAATGTACTCATAGCTCACATTCTGAAGACACTTCTATTGCGTTGAGTCTATCAGAATGGTCCAATAGTACAAATACTGTTAAGTTTCAAAATTTATCTACTAGTAATAGTGGTACTAAGAGTAGTACAAGTGGTTTGAAAAGTGACGAAAATTCCTTGACTGATATTGCTCAAAGTATTTCTGAATGGTCGACGAGTAGTACTTTAAAAGTGCAGCAACCCTTTCAGAAATTATCTAGTACAACTTCCACAGGGGAGGCTAGTACTTTGACCGAATTGATACCAAGTATTACAGAATGGTCGAATTCTGATGCCAAGCCTTTGGTACCTCAATTTCCTACAAGATTAGGTTCCAGCGTTGATATCGACGATATAATTCAAGATCAACGAAGTCCTAAAAATATACCTTCAGAAGATTTTTCGTTATTCTCTAGTAGTACTTCTAAATTTTTCACTAAAAGCACTGAAAGACCTATAATAATACCGCCCTTACAATCGGACACTGATAGTTCCATTGAACATAAAACTGTGCATACCCAAAGGTATGATAAAGACAAAAAAGGTTATTTGCAAAAAAGTACTGATAGGCCGGTGAAAGTCAATTTGAAGCTTGCTAAGTGTTCTCCGTATTACTCTAGTAGTTTGAGTAGTGAAAGTACTCCTTTGCAAGGCTCCAGTCCTATTCCCATTAACAAAACGGCGACCGTACCTTTAACTAGGGTTCACAAAAGGCCTGTGTCTAGGATTTTGACGCACGCCAAAAGTCCTCCAAGTGAAAATGACTCTACCAGCTCTGTGGAGAGCCCTAAAAGTAAATCAGAAAGAGAACGTAGAGGTTATAGAAGGAAAAAACAAATGCAACAGCAAAGAAATAAGAAAAATGACAAATGCACAGATGAGTATTATTATGTCGAGCACGAGCACGGATTGACAGAGTATAATGAGTACATAAGGGAGAGAAATATGGAAGAAATGGCTTCCAATTTTCAATACGAAGCTGGTTTAGCTCAGGATAGTCCTCATTATGAAAATTTAGAGGAAGGTTATTATCCGGATGGAGATTCTCAATCGGGCTCTGATATTTTTCGCATGGAGAGAGAGGAAGAAGACAAACAACACGCTACTGAAGGATTTGACGTCAGTTCCATACCTCCGCCGCTGTTGGAGGACGACGACAATAATTTCGACTGCGCCCCGACGACGCACATTTGATTTTAATGACGTTAACGCGCCGTTATAGACGACGCTCGAGCTTTTTTTGATAGTTTTCGGATTGATTTTGGGTCCTGTTTCGTTTGTGCTCTGCTTATATGAATTTTTGATTTTTGTTGAGTTTTTTACGATTTGTTGAGTTTGGTATGATAACCTTTTTGAAAACAATTTTTCAGTTTTATCATTATTCGCTTGAGTGAGCAATGTTGTTAATTCTGATAAACTTCCTTGAAGTAAGGATTTTTAATTATTTTGCGTTTTGTTATTTGAGATCATAATCAAAAATGAAGTTTTGAAACAGTGATATTTTTTAATTACTTATATGTAATATCCATTTTCCCACTCCACTTTCTTGTCGCAGTAACAGACTTAGAAATGCTCTAATTTAGAGAAATCCTATTGTTGGGAATTCGCCGAAGTTTAGTCATAGTTGATAAATTTTTGTGTTTTTCAGCCAGAGCAGTTTTTGAGGGTCAGTTAAGTTAGCCCCTCCCCATAGAAAATTTCTGGATGAAAATTATCCCATAATTTTGCTCTTATTGTGCTCCACTAATTTCGATTTTTGCTCCATTACAGTGGAGAGACTATGTAGCCTATTAGGTGGGGGCTAAATTATGCTCTCCGAGTATTGCTCCATTTTGCTTCATGATCGGCGAGTTTTGCTCTATTACCAGGAGAAACCTACAGAGCTCCCAAAAAACTCTCCTAGCCCCTAGAAGAGAACGGTGGTACCTGGTTTCACTAGCTTTGTTTGCTTATTCGCACCAACAAGGCACCAACGGGCACTTTCTACACCAAACGTGTTTGTTTATCCAAGGTTTATCCCTATATTTTTTTTTTGTATGGGTCTGACAGATACGAACTGACTTTTTGGTGCACCTGGTGCAGGTTGGTGTAATTTTGGTGCAAATAGACAAACAGAGCCCGCAAGAAGCCCTGTTAGTTAAAAAAATTAATTTCGATTCTTTTTTTTTTCATGTGTTTCTTCGAAAAGACTGAAATAGTCTAAGTACGCACTGAATTTACAAATGGGAATCTCTTGAAAAAATAGTTAAAATGTTTTTTTTTTTTTTAAAGATAAAAGTCAAATTGACATTATGTTGGCAATACAATGTAAAATTGTCAATGCTTTCAAATTTTTTGTGTAGAAAAGGTTTGTGTTGCCAACATAGTTACTAAATTTTAGATTTGGGGAATTATCTTTAAAAAAAAAACAGACTTTATATTTCATAAATAAATACCTATAATAAGCCCGGTATTCATAGACGGGTGCTTGGCTCAAGCTCCGATTTTTGACAATTGTGAGCATCGTTCCGTGCTGTTTGGAAACGTAAATATGGTGTCAATTCGTACTTGAGCCAAGACGCAACCTTGAGCATCGACTACGAATACAGGCTTTTTTTATATTTAAAGCTCGTTTGCTCGAGCGCCCATGTTCGGAGCAGTAAAATGTGTTCCGAATGACTTTTGATAGTGCGAATCGATGAAAAAAAGATGGCGCCTGTTTTCAAGTAAACAAATTTGACACACGTCGTAAATTATAGGGACAGCCTTTTATTTTTCCGAAATAGCTATTTATGGCTGTGTTCTTTTTTTAACTGTCAGTACTGTATTTGCTGCAAATCGTTCCAAAATCAAAATTCAGTTTACTGATTTAGGGCCAAATTACAGTATATTTGCATCTGCAAACTTGCAGTTCTGCAAATATGGCATATTTATGGGAAAAAAGTGTTTGGGCGCTACTGATTTACCAGTTTTAAATGTCAAAGTGATTGCAAGGACTTGCGGGACCGTTTCACCATGCGCAAATTTGCAGGCGACCTGCAAATGCATTCTGCTGCTGTAATACGAAAATTCAGACTTGCGGGTCCTGCAGTTGTATCTTGGTGTTGCAGAGCTTCTGTAATTCCAGGAAAACTGGCTAAATGCGGCAAGTTTTTAAAATCCACAATGACATGTGCGCATTTTAACCGATGTAATGCTGTCCTTGTCATTTGACTGCAGCAAGACAAGGCTAGGTTACTCATCAAGAGAAATGCGCATAAGCAATTAGTGAATTCAAAAACTTGGCCTTCCTTCAAGAACCCTAAACCTTAATAGGATGGCTTATCTAGCTGAAATTGTCTGCCGTGTCCACGCGAAAACTCCCCACTATTTGTGTCATTTGTGACGTCATGTAGACCGCAACCTCGGCGTAAAATCCATTATCCGATTATTTCATACGGTTTTTTTTTTCTAAACGTTAAAATTACCTTTTCTCGACGAAAAAATTACCTCACCACAAGAACGGCGTGGCACAGCCTGAATCGCAATTCAAAATTTCAACGTCAACGGCATTCGTCGTCGTGGGGCGCGTTTGGGTTCACGCTCAGTGCGCTCGGTGCACTCAGAGCATGCACTTTTGTCTCTCTTCTGTTATTTTTGAAGCTCCGACAACGCTTGTTTGTGTTTGGTTTAACATATTTTGAGCGCTCAGAGCGAGCTCGATAAACTCCGAGTTTGTTGAGTAGGCAGCTGGAGCGTGCATGCGCAGATATGTGTTCAATCTGTCTGTATAACCTAACCTATTTTCCATGATAAGATAAAGATAAACAATCCTGAATTTTAACATATTATATTTGTTAGCTGGATAGTTTTAGCTATTTTGTTTAAATGTTAACAATCAAATAGCTAGTGAATTTTGCATAATTGTTTACTTTTAATTAAATTTTCTCGGTAGTCCTCATCACTGGTTATTGAACATATTTTTCCAAGGGAACTTGGCAGCCTCAAAGTGTTCAGGACCGTTTTATTGTTTATGTAGCAAGACCAGTGTTGCCAATGTGGTAAAGTCGGATTACCCGAGTTTCAAGTTGAAATTACCCGATCTTCACTCGCTTTTGCTGTGGTGTTATTAGGTTTTTGAGGCGAGGAAAGAGGCATATTCCAAAACATCGCTAAGCAAAAAAAAAAAGTATTTTAGGGGTCGGAATTGAACAGCGCTTGCGGATTTTTTTATTCGGAACACATATAAACAAATGCGCAATCGCAGTCCAATTCAGGACTGATTCTGAACTAGTCCGAACAATCCTAGTGCTTAAGTTGCAAAGCCGCATTTCGCATCAAAATTTATTCCGTTAAAGGATAGCTGACAGGTAGATAGATTAGGATTGTCGCCGGCCCGTGTCTCGCCTTCTCTTTCCTTGATCTTTCTATTTTCCATTTTTTTTTTTTTATAGAAGGGAAAATAAAGAGAAGCAAATATGAGCGGAGCACGCTCGACAGAAACGAAACATTACCTATCTTAACAGATCGGCCATCCGAGCCATCTACGACAATTTCCAAACATTGTAAAAGTTAAAAAAGATTCGATTACCCGAAATTTCCCGATTTATAAAATGTTAGAAAATTACCCCGCTCTCAGTCAAATTACCCGCAAATCGAGTAATTACCCGCATATTGGCAACACTGAACACGACATGTTTAGCAGAACACAAAAGAAAATGGGGCTGTCTGAAAATTATCGACTAAAAAAAAAATAAACGAGAAAACTCTGGTGCAAATGCGAAATGCGGGCTCAGACTCCAAAAAATATATCCTAAAAAAATAAACAATCAGTTAATCTAAGCCTACCATATTATTCTGACAAAAAAACGGGACATTTTTATGAAGGAGATGTTTCATGTATGTATTTCTAAAGAAAAAAATAGCGCCGCAAACGATTTTTTTTTCGGGACCACGCCCAATTTTATTGTTCTTTATTAAATAGCTATCTACTTCGGCGATTTTATCTTAAAATACGCAAGAATCCAGGAAAAATCACATTTACACACTACTACTACAGGATAGCCTATCCTCATAAGGCCTGTGTGGAACGAATCTGAAGTCCCCCACCACGCCAAATCACCAGTTGTGACGAAGGCAGCATTTCGTTTCTCGCCTTGACGTAGGCTGTTGGCAACACAGGTTATGATTCCGCGGGCTTTTGCTTTATGCATACTTGGTTTTACTACATTAATTAACATTCTAAAACAACCCTTTTTTAGGTCTCGTTTTCATCTTCCTCTTTGTCTATTATATTATGTTAATCAAAATTTAATAATAACTTCCTTCATAAATTTAAATTCAAACTACGACCGCTAGTGCAAATAGCTGACGACTTAGTTAATGTCGTCACACGTCGGACATGGTGACACCCCACACCAATATGGCGGCAATTACCAAAAACGAGTATTATCCATTGTGTATAATAGGTTGTCTGGTAAGGGGTAACTTAATGACGCATCTAACGGGTGCCTTATGTAGATTTGCATTGGCTACGTTCACCAGAACCAAAACGGATTGTAAACAGTTTACAATTACCAACAGAATATGTTGGGTAAACTCTTGGTTCTGCTGAACGATTCAACTTTTTAATGATAGAACGTCACCCTCTGAATGACAGGTCACCACACAAAACACAGTGTTGAAAATTATAAACACTCTGAAATTATGTTTGCAAAAATGGCGACCGTTTGCAAAACATGTTTGGTTTTAACACAAATTCAACGTAGCGTTCAGCAGAACAATCGCAAACCGTTTACCAACGTTTGTATCTGGTGAACGCGGCCATTATCTTGAGGCACCCCAGATGACGTCAAAAAGTTTTCAGGCAACCTACTTCTCTCAAACAACCTTACCATTGGCCGCGTTCACCAGATACAAACGTTGGTAAACCGTTTGCGATTGTTCTGCTGAACGCTACGTTGAATTTGTGTTAAAACCCAACATGTTTTGCAAACGGTCGCCATTTTTGCAAACATAATTTCGGAGTGTTTATAATTTTCTGTGTGGTGACCTGTCATTCGGAAGGTGACGTTCTATCATTGAAAAGCTGAATCGTTCAGCAGAACCAAGAGTTTACCCAACATATTCTGTTGGGATTTGTAAACTGTTTACAATCCGTTTTGGTTCTGGTGAACGTAGCCATTGTATTATCCGAAAATTCTGAACCCACCAAATTTTAAAATGACAAATGTCAA